AGACTCGACCAGGACTCGACCAAGACTCGACCAAGGACTCCACTAGGACACGACCAAGACTCGACCAGGACTCCACTAGGACTCGACCAGGACTTGACCAAGGCTCGACCAGGACTAGGGTTGTCAGAAGTATCGAAAAATCAGACACTAATCGATACTAAAACTATTGAAACTGACCAGGACTCCACCAGGACTTGAACAAGACTAGACCAGGACTAGGGTTGTCAGAAGTATTGAAAATTAGATACTAATTGATACTTAAACCTATTGAAACTAACAAGGACTTGAACAAGTCTTGACCAGGTGTAGACCAGGTCTAGATCAGAACTAAACCAAGATTAGACTGGAACTGGACCAGGACTCGACCAGGACCAAACTGCAACTAAACCAGGACTAGACCAGGACCCAACCAGGACTAGGATTGTGAAAACTATCGAATATCAGATACTAAAATTATTGAAACTGACCAGAACCACACCAGAACTAAACCAGGACTTGACCAGGCCTCAACCAGGACTAAACCAGGACTAGATCGGAACTATACCAGGACTCGACCAGGACTAGGATTTGTCAAAAGTATCGAAAATAGAACACTAATTGACACTAAAACTATTGAAACTAACCAGGACTAGAGCAGGACTAAACCAGGACAGAACCTCAGGGAAAACCGACCTCCACCTGGAGAACGCAGAAATAATTATTGGCTAAAACTGACTAAAACTAAAAATACTTTAATGAAAATTCTCAAACCAAATAAAATGTTTGTGTTGGACTTAGTTGAGTTCACGGCGCGTCCCTGATCGCTCCTGACATGTTTGTCTTTTCGCCTCCTCGTTCTGGAGACAGTGATGGGTCCGTGATGTCATCAGCAAGCGCCGTACCTGCCGCGGCTCCGGGCGCAAACACGCGGCACCTGTCAACAGCACTTAGCCGACAGGAGCGAGCGACAGGAGCGAGCGACAGGACCGAGCGACAGGCGCCTGCTGAACTTTTCACTTGTCAATTCTCAAAAGGTTAGCGCTAAAAACCAGCGCAGCAGAAGCAGACAGGTGGAGACGCTGCCAGGACGCCTCTCCTCCCTCCCTCCTCTCACTCCCTCTCCTCCCTCCTCCCTCCCTCTCCTCCCTCACTCCTCTCCTCCCTCTCCTCCCTCTCCTCCCTCCTCCTCACTCCCTCACTCCTCTCCTCTCCTCTCCTCTCCTCCCTCACTCCCTCACTCCTCTCTCCTCCCTCGCTCCCTCACTCCTCCCTCCCTCCCTCACTCCCTCCTCCTCTCCCTCCTCTCCTCCCTTCTCTCCTCTCCTCTCGCTCCCTCCTCTCCTCTCCTCTCCTCCCTCCTCCTCCTCCCTCTCCTCCCTCCTCCTCTCCTCTCTCTCCTCTCTCTCGCTCCCTCCTCTCTCTCCTCCCTCTCGCTCCCTCCTCTCCTCTCTCGCTCCCTCCTCTCGCTCTCCTCCCTCTCTCGCTCCCTCCTCCTCTCCTCCCTCCTCCTCTCCTCTCCTCCCTCGCTCCCTCCTCTCCTCCTCTCCTCCCTCCTCTCTCTCGCTCCCTCCTCTCCTCTCTCTCCTCCCTCTCTCTCCTCTCGCTCCCTCCTCTCCTCCTCTCCCTCCTCCTCCCTCGCTCCTCTCCTCTCCTCCTCTCTCGCTCCCTCTCCTCTCCTCCTCCCCCTCCTCCTCCTCCCTCGCTCCCTCCTCTCTCTCTCGCTCCCTCCTCTCCTCCCTCCTCCTCCTCTCCTCCTCTCGCTCCCTCCTCTCCTCCCTCTCGCTCCCTCCTCTCCTCTCCTCTCTCCTCCCTCGCTCCCTCCTCCTCCTCGCTCCCTCCTCGCTCCCTCCTCTCCTCCCTCCTCCTCCCTCTCCTCTCCCTCCCTCGCTCCCTCCTCTCCTCTCTCTCGCTCCCTCCTCTCCTCCTCTCGCTCCCTCCTCCTCTCTCCTCCTCCTGCTCCCTCCTCGCTCCCTCCTCTCCTCTCTCTCCTCTCTCCTCCTCTCCTCTCCTCGCTCCTCTCTCCTCGCTCCTCTCCTCCTCCTCTCCTCTCTCGCTCCCTCGCTCCCTCCTCTCTCCTCTCCTCCTCCTCGCTCCCTCCTCTCCTCTCTCGCTCCCTCGCTCCCTCCTCTCCTCCCTCCTCTCCTCCTCGCTCCCTCCTCTCCTCTCGCTCCCTCCTCTCCTCTGTCCTCTCTCCTCCTCCTCCTCCTCTCTTCCTATCCTCCTCTCCTGTCCCTTCCCTCTCTTCCTTTCCTGTCTCCTCCTCCTCTCCTCTCTCTCTCTTCGCTCCCTCCCTCCCTCCCTCTCTCTCGTTATTCCCCTCTCCTCCTCTTCCCCTTTTCCTCTCTCCTTCCTCTCTTCCTTCTCCCTCTCTTTCTTTATCCCTCTCTCTCCCTTCTCCTCTCCTGTCTCCATCTCTCTCCCTCCTTCTCTCTCATTATTCCACTCTCTCTCCCTCTCCTCATCTTCCTCTTTCTTCCCCTTCTCTCCTCTCCTTTCCCCCTTCCTCTCTCTTCCCCGCCCCCCTCTTCTCTCTCCCGCTCTTCCTTTCCTGTCTCCTCCTCCTCTCCTCTCTCCCTCTTCCCTCCCTTCCTTTCTCTCCTCATTCCTCTCTCCTCCTCTCCTGTCCCTTCTCCTCTCTCCTTCCTCTCTCTCATTATCCCACTCTCTATCCCTCTCCTCTCTCCTCCTCCTCCTCCTCCTCTCCTCCTCTCCTCCTCTCTTCTTGTCGTCTGTTCTGTGTGTTTTTGACATCATCGTCGTCGCGTGAGCCTGGAGTCAGTTCTGTTTCACTCACATCAACATTTCTCAAACGGCAGCGGCTCGTTTCTTGTTCTCCGTGTTTTTCTCGTTTGTGACATTTTGCTCGTTTGTGTTTGAGTTTTGCAGACGGGCGCCGCGTGCTCGCTCGTGTCTCCAGAGGTCAAAGGTCACACACGGGTTTTGAGAAATACGTGAGGACGTCTGCGCCGCGAACAGGCGAAAGACGTGTTATTGTCGTAAAGTGCGCTCGCAGAAAGTGGTGCACAAACCAAACATTCTAATGGCGCCGTTAATCACCGGAAGACGGCGGAAAATGAAGAAAACTGTTGTTTTTTCATTTTTATTTTTGGTTTTATATTGAAAAAAAAAATGAACCAATGATACACAGATTTTGCCTCCATATTGAGTGATTTTCGATTTGATCTTTTTCCATCGGGGCGGCAGTAGTTCAGTTGGTGGAGCATTCGCCCACTGATCTGAAGGTTGGTGGTTCGATTCCAGTTCTCGACATAAACATCACAGGTTGCTGGTGTGATTCCAGCTCCCACAGATGAATGCTGTCGTTGTGTCCTTGGGCAAAACACTTAACCCACCTTGCCCACAGTGTCTGTTTACACTGGTGTGTGAATGTGCGAGTGGTTCCTTGTTGTGAAGCTTTGAGTGTCTTGAAGGTGGAAAAGCGCTATAGAAAAATGTGACCATTTACTAGGGATGGGCCATTCGATGAAATTTTCTTAACCGATCGTCGGAAGAATTAACGATCGATTATCGATTAAGCATTAATGTTTTTATATTAAAATGATCATCATTATTATTACTATCTGCACTAATCTGCATAAATAAATTCAACTTTACGACAAATAAACCGTAACGACTCTAGATCCACATCAGCTGTTTGACATTATAATGTGTTTAATTCAGTTTTGTTCAAATCTCACAGAAACAAAACTTAAAACCACATCACTAATTTGCATAAACTAAGCAAAGATAAAACTCCAGCTCTTGTGTCGCTGATGTGGTTCAACTTTCTGTTGGATTAAAAGACATGACTCAGGTGAATACAGGTCAGTGTGACCAGATTTGTGTTGTTCAAAACCAGGACAGCGTACGGGGGGAGGGGGGCGGGGCCTCGTCATCCACATTGAGCGACTCTCACCTGGAAAAACTTTTTCCCTCTGGACACAGAAACATATGTGCTGCTTTATCCACTGTGCACATGGACTCACACTTGTCCCAACGCAACGGAAAGTGTGGAATTTCTTGTACAAATCATCGTTAAATCCACATTTGTGCTTCGGTTCGTTACAGACTGACCCACTGTTTGTGTCTCGCTCCTTCTGATGCAGAGACACATGTACACACCTGTTTGGTCACGATACACACAGCAACATACATTCGGTTTGTCGATTAAAATGAACGTAATCGATGAAATTCTTAATGATCGATTATTGATTAATCGACTAATCATGCCCATCCCTAAATGATACACAGATTTTGCCTTCCTATTGAGCGATTTTCGATTTGATCTTTTTCCATCGGGGCGGCAGTAGCTCAGTTGGTAGAGCATTCGCCCACTGACCCACAGGTTGCTGGTGCGATTCCAGCTCCCACAGATGAATGCTGTCGTTGTGTCCTTGGGCAAGACACTTAACCCACCTTGCCCACAGTGTCTGCGTACACTGGTGTGTGAATGGGTGAGTGATTCTTTGTTGTAAAGTGATTTGAGTGCCTTGAAGGTGGAAAAGCGCTATAGAAAAACGTGACCATTTACCATGACCATTTTACCATCGCATTGAAAACATAGACATACTGACTTCAAGCGTAAAGAGCGAAGTTTCAGGATCACTACGGTTTTATTTTGTATCGACAGGACCAAGTATTTCGTAGAGATCCACATGTAAATCTTTAATATTAACCCTGAAAGCTTTTAGTGCCACAGGACTGACCGTAGACCTGTTGTTTTGTCTCGTCATCGACGTCAACCAAAGTTTCTATCGCAGAAGACTGAATTCTGAACTGATGCAATACAAACACGATGCATTTCAGAACATTTGTAAAGCTCTAAACTTCAGATACAACAAAATTTCTCTAGAAAAATACTAATAATCTGAGAATTGCGTTAACTCAAATTGTGACTCGGATAAAGCCGAAAGAGCCGCAAAACCTGTGTGCATTTACTTTTTATTAAGCAAAACGAACAGCACAACTCTTACTTTTTCGGAAACTTCTTACTAAATCTGAGTGTTTTGTGTCGTTTTCAGGTGGAGTTGAAGATGAAGTACAATGATCAGCACTGTAAAACTCGAGGGCTCCTGTCTGGGAATCGCTGGTACGAGATCCAGGCCTACAGAGCTCTGAACCAGGCTCTGGGCAGGTGAGGGCCATTTATTTACTTTTAAAATTATTTATTATACCTAACTCACAAAATTAATCACTTTTTAATTAATTTTCTAGGTGCATCCGCCATAAAAACGACTGGGGAGCTCTGGTTTTGGTGGACGATCGATACAGGAACAACCCGAACAAATACATCACAGGTTTGTGTTTGTGCTGTTCTTCTGTCCGACACCAGGGGGCACTATTCCTCCACTTTACCACTAAGAGTCGCACTTATCCTGAACATGACCACTAGAAATATGAAAAATCAAAGTAATTTTTCATATTTTCACTCGTTTTTGTGATTGAAAACTAAATACAGTGACTTGTGAGGACTACAGGGAGTTTGAAGGTCCCAGTTTGAGATTAATTTAATCTTAAAGGTGCGTTGTGTCCAGTGTTGTGGAGTAACAGATTACATGTACCGGAGTTAAGTAATCAGAGTACAAATGATGAGTAACTGTATTCAGTTACAGTTACTGTTTCAGTGAGTGGTAATTGGATTACAGTTACTTTGTTGAAATAAATGGATTACACAGAGGGATTTTACTGTTTTCACATTTGAGGCTATATCCCTTTTTTTTTTTTCTTCTTCTCGGTGATTCCACTCATTGCCGGACACTAAACCAGGTCTAAACCAGGTCTAAACCAGGTCTAAACCAGGACTAAACCAGGACTAAACAGTGACTAAAGCAGGACTAAACCCAGGACTAAAACCAGGACCAAACAGGGACTAAAGCAGGACTAAAACCAGGACTAAAACCAGGACTAAACAGGGACTAAAGCAGGACTAAAACCAGGACTAAACAGGGACTAAAGCAGGACTAAAACCAGGACTAAAACCAGGACTAAACAGGGACTAAAGCAGGACTAAAACCAGGACTAAAACCAGGACTAAACAGGGACTAAAGCAGGACTAAAACCAGGACTAAAACCAGGACTAAACAGGGACTAAAGCAGGACTAAAACCAGGACTAAAACCAGGACTAAACCATGACTAAAAACAGACTAAGACTAAAACAGGGACTAAAGCAGGACTAAAACCAGGACTAAACCAGGACTAAAACCAGGACTAAACAGGACTAACTAAAACCAGGACTAAACCAGGGACTAAACCAGGACTAAACCGGGACTAACCGGGACTACGGGACTAAACCGGGACTAAACCGGGACTAAACCAGGGACTAAAGCAGACTAAAACCAGGACTAAACCAGGACTAAACCAGGACTAAACAGGACTAAACAGGACTAAAGCAGGACTAAAGCAGGACTAAAACCAGGACTAAAACCAGGACTAAAACCAGGACTAAACAGGGACTAAAGCAGGACTAAAGCAGGACTAAAACCAGGACTAAACAGGGACTAAAGCAGGACTAAAACCAGGACTAAACCAGGACTAAACCAGGACTAAACAGGGACTAAAGCAGGACTAAAACCAGGACTAAACCAGGACTAAACCAGGACTAAACAGGGACTAAAGCAGGACTAAAACCAGGACTAAACCAGGACTAAAACCAGGACTAAAACCAGGACTAAACAGGGACTAAAGCAGGACTAAAACCAGGACTAAACCAGGACTGAATTAGGACTAAACCAGGACTAAAACTGGGACTAAACAAGGACTAAAGCAGGATTAAAACCAGGTCTAAACCAGGTCTAAACCAGGTCTAAACCAGGACTAAACCAGGACTAAACCAGGACTAAACCAGGACTAAACCAGGACTAAACCAGGTCTAAACCAGGTCTAAACCAGGACTTAACAGGACTAAATCCTGCTGCGTGGACCGTGTCTCCTCTTCTTCTATCAATAATATTTTTAAAGACTCGGCCTTTTCATTTTCTTTTATCAGACAAAACATCTTACGTGAAGATGTGTAATCCAAAGTATTCAGATTACATTACTCACTTTAAGTAATTTAATGGATTCTGTTACAAACTACATTTTGGTGGATGTAATCTGTAATCTGTAGGGGATTACATTTTAAAAATCACCTTCCCAACACTGACTGTGTAACTTTTCTGCTGAGGCGTCCGTCACCTAAACCAAACATGTTCATTTTATCGTCTTATGTACTTAAATAAATCAATCAATCAAACTTTATTTACTCAAAAAAAAAAAAAAGCGACACACAGCGCTTCACTTTAACTTTTTGGGTTCTTTTTTCCTCCCGTTCTCAAGACGATTTGCGGCTGAAACAGGTCAACAAAGTAAAATACACTTTACCGTATTGAACCCAAGAAGTTAAAGGCTCATTGCTTTGCTTGGAATGTTCCACAGTGTGACTTTAAACAGCTGTACTTTACATTTATTCAGTTACAGGTGGTTTTATAGCTCAAAAATACCAAGAAAAACATTCGTTCTGACTGTGAGCGGTGTCGCCTCTCCACAGATCTGACCTGTAGAGTGTGTCAAATGCTTTTCTCCGTGGAGATGTTATTGCTTTGCCTGGAATGTTCCACAGTGTGACATTAAACAGATCTACCTTACTTTTACGAAACTACAGGTGGTTTTATAGCTCAAAAATCCCTAGAACAGGAGTCACCAACCTTCATGGACACTGAGTCAAACGAAGGGCTCCTCTGAAATAACACATGTGCTCAGTTTGCCTTTAGTTAAACATTATTCATAATAATTAATGATAATCATCTATGTGAAGGCACTGATCACGTTCATGATTTCTCACAATCATTATCAACAGTGACAGTGAGACGAGGTGGGAAACAGAAACATCAATATTCAGCAACTTTAACTTTATTCATCTCAGGAGCTGTTATATTTTTAAGTCCAGTGTTACAGTTGACATCGTTGCTTCTGTGAGTGTGTTTACATGCATCAGTGTCCCGGGTGTAAATGCACTGTCCCGGTTTCTTATTATAATCTTACAAATGTGAAGAGAAATCTCGGGAGGTTCTAACACAGGAGTGTTCAAACACATTTTGGTCCAGGCGCCGTATCCAACCTACTTTGATCCCAAAGGGACCAGAAAAAAAAAAAAAAAAAAGGTATGTATATACCCAAAAAATAGCAATAAATTCAAATATTTGTGCAGTTAAACACAAATCTATTACAGAAATCTTTTTTAAATGATGAATTCTTTCTTTTACAAAATACAATAATATGAACAACCTGAAACTTTAANTTCCTCCCGTTCTCAAGACGATTTGCGGCTGAAACAGGTCAACAAAGGAAAATACACTTTACCGTATTGAACCCAAGAAGTTAAAGGCTCATTGCTTTGCTTGGAATGTTCCACAGTGTGACTTTAAACAGCTGTACTTTACATTTATTCAGTTACAGGTGGTTTTATAGCTCAAAAAAATACCAAGAAAAACATTCGTTCTGACTGTGAGCGGTGTCGCCTCTCCACAGATCTGACCTGTACGGTGTGTCAAAATGCTTTTCTCCGTGGAGATGTTATTGCTTTGCCTGGAATGTTCCACAGTGTGACATTAAACATACCTTACTTTTACGAAACTACAGGTGGTTTTATAGCTCAAAAATCCCTTGAACAGGAGTCACCAACCTTTGTGAAACTGAGAGCTGCTTCATGGACACTGAGTCAAACGAAGGGCTCCCACTTTAATACACTTTAATACACTTTAATACACTCCTCTGAAATAACACATGTGCTCAGTTTGCCTTTAGTTAAACATTATTCATAATAATTAATGATAATCATCTATGTGAAGGCACTGATCACGTTCATGATTTCTCACAATAATTATCAACAGTGACAGTGAGACGAGGTGGGAAACAGAAACATCAATATTCAGCAACTTTAACTTTATTCATCTCAGGAGCTGTTATATTTTTAAGTCCAGTGTTACAGTTGTCATCGTTGCTTCTGTGAGTGTGTTTACATGCATCAGTGTCCCGGGTGTAAATGCACTGTCCCGGTTTCTTATTATAATCTTACAAATGTGAAGAGAAATCTCGGGAGGTTCTAACACAGGAGTGTCAAACACATTTTGGTCCAGGCGCCGTATCCAACCTACTTTGATCCCAAAGGGACCAGAAAAAAAAAAAAAAAAAAGGTATGTATACCCAAAAAAATAGCAATAAATTCAAATATTTGTGCAGTTAAACACAAATCTATTACAGAAATCTTTTTTAAATGATGAATTCTTTCTTTTACAAAATACAATAATATGAACAACCTGAAACTTTAAGAAAAATGCAATTTCAACACAAAGTTTAACTTGTATACAAATAGGAATAAGTCCATTTTTGTTGTAAAATCCTGCACTCGGCTCCACTTTTCTCATGTTGGACATTTTTCTGATGAGGGTGTCACGGTCAACAGTCAAAACGATCGTCCTTTAAGAGCGTTTGGAAAGAGACAAGTCTTCATTTGTGCTGCTCTGGTGGGAGGGGCCACGTACAGAGACGCTGGAGACGCTGCTGTGATAAACACCACAGAAAATTAACAAGATTTTAATAGAAAATATAATTAAAATATTTTAGTAGAAAATCATCTGAGGGCCACATTAAAGGTCTTAGAGGGCCGGATCCGGCCCCCGGGCCGTATGTTTGACACCCCTGGTCTAACAGATCTAGACCAGACTGGAACCAGAGCAGGACTGAGACCAAGACCAGACCAGGACCAGGCCGGGACCAGAGCGGGAACAGAGCGGGATTGAGACTGGGACCAGACTGGGACCAAACTGGGATCAGAGCGAGACTGAGACCAAGACCAGACCGGGACCAGACCAAGACTGAGATCAGAACAGAGACTGGGACCAGACCGGGACTGAGACCAGACCGGAGGTTCAGAACCCACGGCAGGGCTGGAGCTTGAAGCTGAGGCTCGGACCCTGCGGAGGCTCGGAGTCAAAGCTCGGAGTCAAAGCTCTGGAGTCCGCCCTGGTCCTGCTCTGGTCCTGCTGGTCCTGCTCTGGTCCTGCTCTGGTCCTGGCCTGGTCCTGGTCTGGTCTTGGTTTCAGTCCTGCTTTGGTCCCACTCTGGTCCTGGACCTGGATCAGTCCTGGTTCAGTCCGTATGCGGCGCAAAAATTAGGCATCGCAGTCACGAAAGTCACGTAAACGGGAAACGGTCATTGTCTGTTTTTTCCATTTTTCATTTAAACACAAACTAAAACAAAAACTGAAAAAAAACAATCATCATCTGTTTTTTCATTTTGGTTTTGGAGACAAATAATGAAGAAAACTGTTGTTTTTTTGTTTTCTTATTTTTGTTTCTGTATTGAAAAACGAATGAACGAATGATACATGGATTAAAGTCTCTGTCAGTATAAATAAACAAAAGTGACGTCCTCGTTCTTCTCTCGTGTCTCAGGTTTGTCCAAGTGGGTCCGTCAGCTCGTGCACCATCACGACTCTTTCCCCAACGCGATGCAGTCTCTGGTGGCTTTCTCCCACGAGCAGAGGACCAGGACCGGCCCGGGTCTGACCCACAGTCCAGGTCTGAAGTCCCCGGACACCGGCGCCGTTCAGCGTCCCGCCTCCGTCGCCATCGGACCCAAAGACCAGCCCAGAACCCCCCTGTCCGACTGCCCCGTCCAGACCCAGAGGAGCCCCCCGCCCTTTCACAATAACGCCAACGTAACAGCAGGTGAGACAGCGGACTCTTATTTTGAAAGGATTGTGAAATAGAAAAGAAAAGTTATAGCTGTAGTTCCGATACTGGTATTGGTAAAAGCTCCGATACCACACACATGTGAAGTATCGGAATCGTCGAGTAACAGACTAAATCAAAATGTTCAGCTGACATGATATTATTAATATATAACACAATATTCCACAGTGTTGCATTAAACTCTTCTCTCTCGCGTTTATTCAATTACAGATGATTTTTATTGCCGAAATAAACCTGCGTTCTCGCCTCTCCGCAGATCTGACCCATAACTTGGCCTGATGGTGCCACGTGCTTGTCTTCATGGCTCAATCTCCACCCCTCTTTTTCTCCCTCTCTTTCTCCTTCCCTCTCTCGCCTTCTCCCTTCTTTCCCTCTTTCTCTCTTTCCCTCTCTCTTTTTGTCTCTCTCTCTCTTTTTCCCTCTCTCTCCCCCTTTCTCTCCCTCTTTCTCTCCTTCTCCCTTTCTTTTCCTCTTTCTCTCTTTCCCTCTCTCCCTCTTTCCCTCTCCCTCTTTTCCCCTCTCTCTTTCTCTCGTCTCTCTCTCTCCTCTCTCTCTTTCTCTGCCCCCCCTCCTCTCTCCCTCTCATCCTCTCTCTCCCCTCTCTCTCTTTCCCTCTCTTTCTCTCTTTCCCTCTTCTCTCTCTCTCTTCTCTCTCTCTCTCTTTCCCTCTCTCTCTCTTTCCCTCTCTCTCTTCTCTCTTTCTCTCTTTCTCTCTTCCTCTCTTTCTCTCTCTCTTTCTCTCTCTCTTTCCCTCTCTTTTCTCTCTTTTTCTCCTCTCTCTCTTTCCCCCTCTCTCTCTTTCCCTCTCTCCTCTCTCCCTCTCTTTCTTTCCTTCTCTCTCTCTCCCCCTGTCTCTCTCTTTTCCTGTCTTTCTCTCTCTCTTTCCCTCTCTCTCCTTTCTCTCTCTCTTCCTCTCTCCCTCTCCCTTGTCTTTCTCTCCTCTCTCCCCTCTCTCTCTTTCCCTCTCTCTCCTTTCTCTCTTTCCCTCTCTCTCTCTCTTGTTCTCTCTCTCTCCCTCTCCCCTTCTCTCTCTCTCTCTCTTTCCCGTCTCTCTCTGTTTCCCTTGCTTCTCTCTCTCTTTCTCTCTCTCTCTCTTTCCCTCTCTCCTCTCTCCCTCTCTCTTTCTTTCCTTCTCTCTCTCTCTTTCCCTCCCTCTCTCTCTCTCTCTCTCTCTCTGTTTTTGTGGAGGTGCAGTGTTTTTTTTTTCTTTCATTACTGTATTTCCTTTTAGTTCTTCCTCCTCTTCTTCCCTTCCCCCTTTTTTATTATGTTAGTCCCTTTAACTATTTAGCTCTATTCTCTCTCTCTCTCTCTCTCTCTCTCTCTCTATTCTCTCTCTCTTCATCCCTCTTGTTTCTGTCATTAACCTACAGTAGTAGTTGTTTATCTCTCCCTCTCTCCCTCCATCTCACTCGCTCTGTTTCTCTCTCTCCCTCTTTTCTCTCATTACAGCAACAGACTCTTTTGGTTTTTTCCCTCTCCCACTTTTCTCTCCTCCTCTCCCCCTCTTTTCCCTCACCACTTCCTCCCTCCGTCTTTCCTCTCCTCCCCTTCCTCCCTCTCTCCCTGCCTCTTTTCTCTTATTACCCTCCCCCTCTTTTCCCTCTTTTCTCTCCTCCCCCTCTACCTCTTTTCTGTCATTACTGTAACGCTCCAGCTCTCCCCCTCTCTCAACTTTTCTCCCCTCCCTCTTTCCTCTCCTCTTTCCTCCCCGCCCCCTCTCTTTCCCTCTTTCCTCTCCTCTTTCTTCCCCTCCCCCTCTCCTCCCTCTCTCCTCCCCCCCCCTCCCCTCTCCTCCCTCTTCGTCCCTCTATTCTCTCCTCCTTTCCTCTCCTCTCTCCTCCCTCCCCTTGCCTCCCGCTTTCCTCTCGCTCCTCCTTTCCCTCCCTCTCCCCCCTCCCTCCCTCTTTTCTCTCATTCCTATAATACTCCCTCTCTTCCCCCTCTTTTCTACCCCCCCTCCCTCCTCTCTCCTCTCCTCTCCTCTCTTCTTCCCTCTCCTCTCTCCTCCCTCCTCTCCTCTCCTCCTCTTTTCTCATTTTACTACAGTGCTCCCTTCAGCTCTCCTCCCCCTCTCCTCCCTCTTTCTCTCTCTCTCCTCCCTCCTCCCCTCCTCCTCCCCTCTTCTCCCTCTTTCTCTCCTCTCCTCTCACCTCTCCTTCCCTCTTTCTTTCCTCTTCTCTCCTCCTCCCCTCCCTCTCCTCCTCTCTCCCTCTCCTCTCCTCCTCTCTCCTCTCCCCCTCTCCTCCCTCTCTCTCCTCTCCTCTCCCTCTCTCCTCCCTCTCCTTCTCCTCTCCTCCCCCTCCTCCTCTCCTCTCTCCTCTCTCTCTCCTCCTCCTCTCCTCCCTCTTTCTCCTCCCTCTCCTCTCCTCTCCTCTCTCCTCCCTCCCCTCTCCTCCTCCTCTTCCTCCTCTCCTCTCCTCTCTCCTCCCCCTCTCCTCCCTCTCCTTCTCCTCTCCTCTCCTCCTCTTCCCTCTCTCCTCTCTCCCTCCTCTCCTCCCTCTCTTCTCTTCCTCTCTTCTCCCTCTTCCTCTCCTCTCTCCTCCCCTCTTCCCCTCCTCTCCTCTCCTCTCCTCTCCTCTCTCCCTCTCCTCTCCCTCTTCTCTCTCTCTCTCTCTCTCCTCCTCTCTCCCCCTCTTTCTTCCTTCTCCTCTCTCTCTCCCCCTCTTCTCCCTCTTTTCTCTCCTCTCCTCTCACCTCTCCTTCCCTCTTCTTTCCTCTCTTCTCTCCTCCCTTCCCCCTCTCCTCCCTCTTTCCTCTCCTCTCCCCCGCTTTTCTCTCATTACCGTAACGCTCTCCTCCCCTCCCCCTCTCCTCCCTCTTTTCTGCCCCCTCTACCTCTCTCTTTTCTCTCTCTCTACCACAGCTCTCCCCCTCTTTCCTCTCCTCTCTCCTTCCTCTTTCCTCGCGTCACCGTAACGCTCCCTTCTCCTCTCCTCTCCTCTTTTCTCCCCTCCCCCTCTCCCTCGGCGTTTGGTCTCATTAGTGCGGGCGGCGCTCCCTTCTTCTCCTCCTCCTCCTCTTCTTCCTCTCCTCCTCGTTGTCGTCCTCGTGCTTGAGTGGTCGACCTGATGAGCAGATGTCTGACTGTTGTTTTTAATTAAATCCTCTTGACCTTTGTTTGGCTCCATTCAGCGGAAGCACCGATTCAGACTCAAGAACGAAAATTACACCATCGCTCCCTCCGCTCCCCCTGCTCCCCGCGCCGCAACTTTATCAAAAAAAACCCCCAAAACAACAGAAACATCGTAACGAGATCTAAATCAAAGGCCCGCCGTGTCCGGAATGTTCCGCAGTGTGACTTTAAACAGCTCGGCTTGACGTTTATTCAGTTACAGGTGGTTTTACGGCTCAAAAATACAGGGAAAAAACAGACATTCTGACTGTGAGCGGGGTCGCCTCTCCGCAGAGCTGACCTGGGACTTGGCCCGCTTTGGTTTCCATGGAGATAGAAAAGGTTTAATGCCATACTGTGGGACATTCCAGACAAAATAATAGTATTTAAATGGAGAATTTGACGGACCATTTCTGAGTGACTGCAGTAGAATTTTTTTTTTTTAAATATTTATTTTTTTATGTTTATTTATTTATTTTATTTTTATTTTTTTCCATTGACCACAAATTATAATGAATTAATAAGCAGTTTTTAAAATTTATATTGAAGCATTATTTTATATCAAAAATAAATAAAAAATCATTAACTAATATTTAATTTTTGTTTTTAAAACTGTATCATGAAACTTTTCTGGTGGATATTCTGCTTTCGGCCTCAGTGTTTCCTAAAATTGTCTTGAATTTTTCACAATATTTTAATTTAACTTAGTTTGTTATAGGGAGTATTATCTGTTACATAACGGTGAGTTGTTGTAAATTTGTAGGGAGTATTATCTGTGACATAAGGGTAAGTTGTACAGTTGTAGGGAGTATTATCTGTTACATAGCGTTGTACAGTTGTAGGGAGTATTATCTTTCACATAGAGTAATTGTACAGTTGTAGGGAGTATTATCTGTCACATAAGGATGAGTTGTTATACAGTTGTAGGGAGTATTATCTGTCACAGAAGGATGAGTCGTTATACAGTTGTAGGGAGTATTATCTGTCACTTAGAGAAATTGTACAGTTATAGGGAGTATTATCTTTCACATAACGGTGAGTTGTTGTACAGTTGTAGGGAGTATTATCTGTTACATAAGGGTGAGTTTTACAGTTGTAGGGAGTATTATCTGTTACATTTGGGTGAGTTGTTGTACAGTTGTAGGGAGTATTATCTGTTACATAAGGGTGAGTCGTTGTACAGTTGTAGGGAGTATTATCTGTGACATAAGGGTGAGTTGTTGTACAGTTGTAGGGAGTATTATCTGTTACATAAGGGTGAGTTTTACAGTTGTAGGGAGTATTATCTGTCACAGAAGGATGAGTCGTTATACAGTTGTAGGGAGTATTATCTTTCACATAACGGTGAGTTGTTGTACAGTTGTAGGGAGTATTATCTTTCACATAACGGTGAGTTTTGTACAGTGTAGGGATATTATCTTTCACATAAGGTGAGTTGTGTACAGTTGTAGGGAGTATTATCTTTCACATAATGGTGAGTGTTGTAGTTGTAGATTATCTGTACATTTGTATTGTAGAGTATTATCTTTCACATAATGGTGAGTTGTTGTACAGTTGTAGGGAGTATTATGTTTCACATCGGTGAGTTGTTGTACAGTTGTAGGGAGTATTATCTTTCACATAAGGTGAGTTGTTGTACAGTTGGTAGGGAGTATTATCTTTCACATAAGGATGAGTTGTTGTACAGTTGTAGGGAGTATTATCTTTCACATAACGGTGAGTTGTTGTACAGTTGTAGGGAGTATTATCTTTCACATAACGGTGAGTTGTTGTACAGTTGTAGGGAGTATTATCTTTCACATAACGGTGAGTTGTTGTACAGTTGTAGGGAGTATTATCTTTCACATAACGGTGAGTCGTTATACAGTTGTAGGGAGTATTATAGTATGAAAGTAGTCTTGTGTCTTTCGCTGTAGGAGTCTGTTGGAGAACATCTACCTCCAGAAAAGTTACACAGTGCATCTTTACGACTTATTTTTGCGATTTAGCTAAAATGTATGCGTTTTATTTTTCCAGATTTGAAGAGCGCGGACAAACCGACGAAAACTCCGGCGCCCAACCCGAAGTTTGAGCAGATTTACCCCATTTTTGCGTCAAGTCCCGTCAACGCCAACCTCAAAAAACCAATATTTAAAAGAAAAGAGAGCAGCCGCCAGCCAGAAACTTCTCCTAACGCGGACGTCGTCGAGGAAAATACGAAAACGGACGAAGCTTTAGTTTTGGACGGTGAAAACAAAATGGAAAACGGCGGATTGAGAGAAGTGAACGAAGCAGAGCCAGAAGTTCCTGAAGTTCCTGAAGTCCTGAAGTCCCTGAAGTCCCTGAAGTTTCCCATGAGGAGGAGGAGGAGGACGAAACTGTATTTTTCACGCCAGAACTTTTCGGAGAGGAGGAGGAGAACGACGAGGAGGAGAGAGAGGGAGAGAGAGAGGAGGAGAAGGAGGAGGAGAGAGAAGAGGGAGAGGAGGAGGAGAGAGGGAAGGAGAGAGAGAATAAACTTCGAAGGTTGTCCAGGTCCAAGCACAAAAGCAGTTCTTCTACTCAAGGTAAATAACACACAGGGACAGGGAGGTGTGAGGTCTTCTTACTGTAGAATCCCTATAGTTTAAAGGTTTATTGCGTAACTTTTCTGGTTGTTTCTATGGAGATGTCATCGCTCCGCCTGGAATGTTCCACAGTGTGACATTAAACAGCTCTTTTTTACCTTTACCGTATTTTTCGGAGTATAAGTCGCACCAGCCAAAAACTGTGTACTGAAGAATAAAAAAACATATATAATATCGCACTTTTTAGGGAGATTTTTTTTTTTTTTTTTTTATAAAATCAGAGATCAGGAACCGAGAAGTTTTAGAAATAACATCAGAAGAGAGAACAACAGACTGTTAACGTCACATATGAACAGTTCTTCAGATAAACTATAACATAAACAACAGAACAAGTTTAACAAACTCTCCATCTCACTCCAAATCACTAAATCCATTCAATTCTTCATCCTCGGTGTCACTTCTGAACAACTCGGCCTCGACCTGTGGAGGTAAACAGAGCGACGCAAACTCTTCTGTGTCGCTGTCGTCAGATTCAGCATCAGTTCCAGTTAGAATTATTCTGGTCTTTCTGAATCCCGACAGGATGGTTTCAGTGTCACTGAAGTCCAGGCTTTGTCCATCCATCCAGTGACTTCAGGAAAGTTTCATGGTTCATCCTCCCGCTGTCACAAGTTTCTCACTCACTCCAAACTTTCTTTCTGTTGCTCCATTATCGTTTTCGGCTGCAGATTTCACTATTTGCAGCAAGACATAGGCTCTTTTTACAGGAGACATGCGCAGTAGAGCCAGGTGACAGTGGTACAGGAGAATCTGTGTGTCATTCGTTCATTCGTTTTTCAATATAAAACCAAAAATAAGTAAATGAAAAAAACAACAGTTTTCTTCATTATTTGTCTCCAAAATGAAAAAACAGATAATGATTTGTTTTTTTTTCAGTTTTCGATTTTGTGTTTAATGAAAAATGGAAAAAACGGATAACGGCCGTTTCCTGTTTACGTGACTCCCGTGACTGCGATGCCAGACTGAACCAGGACTGATCCAGGTCCGGGACCAGACTGAGACTGAGACCAGAGCAGGACCAGACCGAGACCTGGTCCCAGTCTGTTCCTTGTCTCAGTCCCAGTCTGGTCCCGGTTTGGCCCCGGTCTGGTCTTAGTCCCAGTCCCAGTCTCAGTCCTGGTCTGGTCCCGGCCTGGTCCTGGTCTGATCTTGGTCTCAGTCCTGGTCTGGTCCTGATCTCAGTCCTGGTCTGGTCCTGATCTCAGTCCTGATCTCAGTCCTGATCTCAGTCCCGGTCTGGTCCCGGTCTGGTCCCGGTCTGGTCCCGGTCTGGTCCCGGTCTCGGTTCCGGTCTGGTCCCGGTCTCAGTCCCGCTCTGGTCCTGCTCTGGTCTAGTACCTGGATCAGTCCTGGTTCAGTCCGTATGTGGCGCAAAAGTCCGGCGTCGCAGTAACAGAAGTCACGTAAACAGGAAACGGCCGTTATCTGTTTTTTTTTTTTTTTTCATTTTTCATTTAAACACAAAATCGAAAACTGAAAAAAACGAATCGTTATCTGTTTTTCATTTTCTTATTTTTGGTTTTATATTGAAAAACGAACAAACGAACGACACACGGATTGTGGAACATTCTTTCTGTTATACTGTGGAATATTAAAGCCAAAGGACCAACATTTCCATGGAAACAAGCAGTAGGAGATGATCCGGGCTGAGCACGAGTCGGGTTTGTGGAGATGCGAGCCCGCTCACACTCAGGACGTATGTTTTTCAGTGCAATAATCACCAAAATAAATCACCAAAATAAATCTCTTAACTCTCTCTTTTCTCCTCCCGCTCCTCTCTCTCTCCTCTTTACTTTCTTTTATTAAAAAAACATGCTTATTTTATTGTATATTTGTTGAAAATCTGGGACCTTTACTTCTCGTTTGTGCCTCGGGCCAAAATCACGTCTCGTTACGACGAAGAAAAATCATCGAATCATTAGCTCATTACCCCAGACCTCGAATCAAACGTATGGAAACACAATTTAAACGTATAAACAAATCATTAAACAAGACGCCGTGTTGAACGTGGGATAAACGCCCTGATCACTGACCCCGTGATAACGACTTTATACGAGAAAGAACAAAACCAAGGAAACTGTCATCACATTTAATTACTGTAATATTTGTAAATAGTTTAAAGTCGTGTTTGGTTTGTGGATTCTGTTGTGTTTTGTATTAAAAAGAAATTGTAACGTGTGTTTGATTTTTGACTGCACTGTAATGTTATAATGTGTTATTGAGCAAGACACTTTACACATCGGTAAAGGTCTGTGCGTCTCTGTGGATCTGCCTCCTCAGAACATCACTGACCGTCTCCAGATCTCTCCTGCTGAACCATGTGGAGGCAGCAGAGCGTTCTCCTCGTCTTCTCCAGATTAGGGACGGGCATTCGATGAAATTTTCTTAATCGGTCGTCGGAAAAATTAACGATCGATTATCAATTAATCATTAACGTTTTTATATTAAAATGATCATCATTATTATTACTATCTGCACTAATCTGCATAAATAAATTCAACTTTACGACATATAAACATAACGACTCTAGAGCCACATCAGCTGTTTGACATTATAATGTGTTTAATTCAGTTTTGTTCAAATCTCACAGAAACAAAACTTAAAACCACATCACTAATTTTACATAAACTCAGCGAAGATAAAACTACAGCTCTTGTTTCGCTGATGTGGTCCAACTTGTGTTGGATTAAAAGACATGACTCAGGTGAATACAGGTCAGTGTGACCAGATTTGCGTTTGTTAAAACCAGGACAGCGTACGGGGGGAGGGGGGCGGGGCCTCGTCATCCACATTGAGCGACTCTCACCTGGAAAAACTTTTTCCCACTGGACACAGAAACATATGTGCTGCTTTATCCACTGTGCACATGGACTCACACTTGTCCCAACGCAACGGAAAAGTGTGGAATTTCTTGTACAAATCCTGGTTAAATCCACATTTGTGCTTCGGTTCGTTACAGACTGACCCACTGTTTGTGTCTCGCTCCTTCTGATGCAGAGACACATGTACACACCTGTTTGGTCACACTACACAGAGCAACCTACATTTGGTTTGTCGATTAAAATGAATGTAATCGATGAAATTCTTAATGATCGATTAATCGATTAATCATGCCCATCCCTACTCCAGACTCTTTCACGTCTGTCACAGGAGCTCAGGGTGAACCTCTAAAAAACACAGAGCACCAGAGGCAGACTTGCCATTTCTGGTGTCGTCGAACAAATGCCAATTCACCACGAGGCTCTTCTGGCTCCTTCTGACTCTGGCTCCAGTTGACTTACATTAGGATCTTGTCGTCCGTCTCTCTGCTGTGAGCCTCGTCGTTTTGGTCTTAAAATATTCGTATTAACCCGCGACACATTTTTTCACTATTTTCTCCTTCAAAAAAGTCCCGTTCATAACAAGAGAGTCTGGCTTCAGATTCACTCCTGGAACCGTGAGCATCATGAGCTTCATTTGAGCTGAACGCTGTGGGTGACGTCACACTCACTTTGTCCACTGCTTTTATTCAGTCTATGGTCAGAACACAGGCAGAGCTCAGCCTGTTCCTCATCACACAAGGAGCAGATATTTGTGGTCAAACCTCCTCTCAAAGCCTGATCCTGTCAGATCTCAGAGGTTCAGAGGTTCAGAGGTCAGGGTCTGGTTTGGACTTGGATGGAGACACTGGGAAAGTCAGGTCACACCAGTCACAAAAACTATTATTGTGTCCTTAGGCCAGACACTTCACCCTCATTGTCCAGTATGAAAGTGGAGTGTGTGTGTGATAGTTGGTGGTCAGAGGGGCTGTTGGTGCAGATTGACAGCCTCGCTTCCATCAGTCTGCCCCAGGGCAGCTGTGGCTACAGTAGAAGTTTACCACCACCGGGTGTTGAGTGAATGAATAATGCTCTATGAAGAGTCTCTGAGTGTCCAAAAAGTAAAACTGTGAATCTGATGCAGCATCATTATTATTATTATATGGATCCTGCTGTTGGGCTGAGGATCTTCTATGGCCTGGTCCAGCTCTCATTTGTTCATTTGTTTTTCAAAATAAAACCACAAATAAGAAAAAGAAAAAACAACAGTTTTCTTCATTATTTGTCTCCAAAACCAAAATGAAAAAACAGATAATGATTCGTTTTTTCAGTTTTTGACTGTGTGTTTGTGTTGTGGGACCAGAGCAGGACTGAGACCAGACCGGGACTAGACCGAGACCAGACCGGGACTAGACCGAGACTAGACCGGGACTGACTGAGACTGAGACCAGACCGAGACTGAGACCACACCGGGACCAGAACTGAGATCAGAACTGAATCCGGGACCAGACCAAGACTGAGACCAGATTGGGACCATCCCGGGACCAGGCTGGGACCAGACCGAGATTGAGACCGAGACTGAGAACGAGACCAGACCGGGACCAGACCGGAGGCTCAGAGCTCACAGCAGGGTCGGAGCTCGAAGCTGAGGCTCGGAGTCAAAGCTCGGAGTCCTCTCTGGTCCCGCTCTGGTCCCGGTCTGGTCCCGCTCTGGTCCCGGTCTGTCCCGCTCTGGTCCCGGACCTGGATCAGTCCTGGTTCAGTCTGACATCGCAGTTTAAGTCACGTAAACGGTCAACGGCCGTTATCCGTTTTTTCCATTTTTCATTTAAACACAAAATCTAAAACTGAAAAAACGAATCATTATCTGTTTTTTCATTTTGGTTTTGGAGACAAATAATGAAGAAAACTGTTTTTTTTTTGTTTTTTTTTCTTATTTTTGGTTTTATATTGAAAAACAAACGAACAAATGACACACAGATTATTCTTGATGTGTTGTTCCTTTTTAGTATTTCTACTCTTAACCTTTTGAAGACGGTGTTTAAATCCTGACACAGAGTGAAGACGACACGGTTAATCCTCCTGCGTTACATTTACAAATCCACCCTGTTGTTTTCTCGTCTTTAACGTTTCTAATGATTTTTCGCCCGAACTGTTTAATGACGTCAAAAACAGGTTTAAACACACACACACACACACACACTCGATGAGCTCGTCCGTCCTCTAACGAGCTCGGCCTGATGATGTGACGACTCAAAACCTTTTCAAACATGTAAAAAAAAAAAAAAAAGAAGAGTAAAAGCTCAGGGTGATTTCCTGATGTGCTCGGCCTCATTATGAAGTGTGATTGACGGAGAAACACGAGGACCCGCATTAAAAACCAAACCCCCTCCTCTTTTTCTCTCTCCGCTTTTCTCTCCATCACTTTCTCTCCTTTCTCTCTCCTCTTTCTGCCTCTTTTCTCTCTCCTACTCCCCTCCCCTCATTTCCATTTCTCTCTTCTTTTCTGTCTCCCCCGCTCCTCCTCTCTCTCCTCTCCTCTCTTTCTCTTTTCTCTCTCCCCTCTGCTCCCCTCTTTCTCCATCTTCTTTTCTCTCCTTTCTGCTCCCCTCTTTCTCCTTTCCTCTCATTAATCTCCTCTTTTTCTGTCATTTTCCTCCCTCTCCTCTCCGCCTCCCCCTCTCTCTCTCTCTCTCTCTCTCTCTCCCTCCTCTCCTCCTCCTCTTTCCTTTTCTTTCTTCCACTTCTGTCTTTCCCTCACCTCCTCTCTCTCTCTCCTCTCCCCCTTCCCCTCTCTCCCTCTCTTTTCTCTTTCCTCTCCTGTTTCTCTTTTTCTCCTCCCCTCCTGTTCTCCTCCCTTCTCCTCTCCTCCTCCTGTTTCTCTCTCTCTTTCTCCTCCTCTCTTCTCCTCTTCCCTCCCCTCTCTCCTCCTCATCTCCTCTTCATGTCAATAAATTCTCGGTGTGTTTCTCCCCCCCCTCTCCCTCTCTTTTCTCTCTGTCCATGCCTCCCCTCTCCCTCTCTCCTCTCCTCTCCTCCCTGCTCCTCTGCTGGTTCTCTCTTTTTCTTCTCCCCTCTTCTCATCCTCCTCTCCCCTTTTCTCCTGCCCTCTCCTCTCTTCTTCCTCCTGTTTCTCCCCCTCATTCTCCTCTCTTCCTCTCCCTCTCTCCTCCCCTCTCTCTCCTCTCCTCCTCTTCATGTCGTTAAATTCTCGGCGTGTTTCTCCTCTCCCCCTCTTCTCTTTCTCCTCTTCCTCTCCTCTCTTCCTCTTCGTGTCCTTAAACTCTCGTAGTGTTTCTCCTTTTCCTCTCTCTCCTCTCCTCCCCTCTTCCTCCTCTCCTCTCCTCCTCCCCTCTCCTCCTTTCTCTCCTCTTCCTCTCCTCTCCTCCTCCCCTCTCTCTCTCTCTCCTCTTCGTTGTCGTTAAACTCTTGTGGTGTTTCTCCTCCTCTCCACTCTCTCTTCCTTCTCCTCTTCTCTCTCTCCCTCTTCCTCCTCTTCTCTTCCTGTCCTCCTCCTCCTCTTCGTTGTCGTTAAACTCTTGTGGTCTGTTTCTCCTCCTCTTCCTCTCTCTCTCTCTCCTCCCCTCTTCCTCCTTCCCTCTCCTCCTTTCTCTCCTCTCCTCTCCTCTCCTCTTCTCTTCCTCTTCTCTTCCTCCTCTCCTCTCGCTCTCTCTCCTCTTCGTTGTCGTTAAACTCGTGTGGTGTTTCTCCTCCTCTCCACTCTCTCTTCCTTCTCCTCTTCTCTCTCTCCCTCTTCCTCCTCTTCTCTTCCTCTCCTCCTCCTCCTCTTCCTCCTCTTCGCATCGTTAAATTCTCGTGGTGTGTTTTCTCCTGCTCTTCCTCCTCTGTTCGTTGTCGTTAAACTGTGGCGGTGTGTTTCTCCTCCTCTCTTCTCTCTCTCTCTCCTCCTCTCCTCTCCCTCCTCTCTCCTCCTCTCTTCCTCCTCTCTTCCTCCTCTCTTCCTCTGTTCGTCGTCGTTAAACTGTGGCGGTGTGTTTCTCCTCCTCTCTTCCTCTCTTCCTCTTCATCGTTGTTAAATTCTCGTGGTGTGTTTCTCCTCCTCTCTTCCTCCTCTCTTCCTCCTCTCTTCCTCCTCTTCCTCTCCTCTTCCTCTCCTCCTCTCTCTCCTCCTCTCTCTTCCTCCTCTCCTCCTCTCTTCCTCCTCTCTTCCTCCTCCTCTGTTCGTTGTCGTTAAACTGTGGCGGTGTGTTTCTCCTCCTCTCTTCCTCCTCTCTTCCTCCTCTCCTCCTCTCTTCTTCCTCTCTTCCTCCTCTCTTCCTCCTCTCTTCCTCCTCTCCTCCTCTCTTCCTCCTCTCTCTCCTCTCTCCTCCTCTCTTCCTCCTCTCTCCTCCTCCTCTCTCCTCCTCTCTTCCTCCTCTCTCCCTCCTCCTCCTCTGTTCGTCGTCGTTAAACTGTGGCGGTGTGTTTCTCTTCCTCTCTCTCCTCCTCTCTTCCTCCTCTCTCTCTCCTCTCCTCTCTTCCTCCTCTCTTCCTCCTCCCTCTTCTTCTCTCTCTCTTTCTCTTCCTCCTCTCTTCCTCTCTCTCCTCTCCTCCTCTCTCCTCCTCTCTTCCTCCTCTCTCCTCCTCTCTTCCTCCTCTCTTCCTCCTCTCTTCCTCCTCTCTTCCTCCTCCTCCTCTGTTCGTCGTCGTTAAACCGTGGCGTTGTGTTTTCGTGTTAAAAGGTCTTAACGAGCTCTGCACATTACAGCAGAGTTCAGTAATGGTCCTGGATGACTCGGAGTTCGCCCATTAACCTAATTTTACCGCACGACCTCGCCTCGTTACCGCGGCAACACTTCTCCTCTTCTAAATATGGAGCTGCCCAAATTATAAAAAAAAAAAAAAAAAAAAAAACATGCTTCATTTATTCATTTGAATCACACAGATTTGATCAGTTTGAAATTACCTGAAAATGTAAAATTGCCTTTTTAGAGCAGGTTTATAAAAAAAATAAAAATAACCAGAGCACGATGTCGTCACGATGCAGAAAATTCAAACTCAATTTCAATGCTAAAGAATCGACAGAATAATCAATACCGATACCGATATTGTGATGATAATTAAAAACCTCTTTCTTTTGACAATAGATTTTTTTTGTATCGATACCTGAGAAAAATTAGGATCTATTTTTGATATTTTTCACAACCTTAGTCCTGGTTTACTTCTTGTTTAGTTCTGGTTTAATCAGGTCAAGTCCAGGTTTACTCCTGCTTTAGGCTTGGTCTAGTCTTGGTTTAGTTCTGGTCTAATCTTGGTTTAGTCCTGGTTTAGTCCTCGTGTAGTCCTTGTTTAGCCCCCAATTTAGTCCTGGTATAGTCCTGCTTTAATCTTGGTTTATTCCTGCTTTAGACTTTGTGTAGTCCTGGTTTAGTCCTGGTTTAACCCTGATTTAGTCCCGGTTTAGTCCTGATTTAGTCTTGGTGTAACCCCGGTTTAGTCCCGGTTTAGTTCTGCTTTAGTCCTGGTTTAGTCCTGCTTTAGTCTGCTTTAGTCCTGGTTTAGTCCGGGTTTTTTGTGCAGTCCTGCTTTAGTCTTGGTTTAGTTCTGGTTTAGCCCTGGTTTAGTCCCAGTTTAGTCCCGGTTTAGTCCTGGTTTAGTCCTGCTTTAGGCTTCATGTAGTCCTGGTTTAGTCCTGGTTTAGTCCTGGTTTAACCCTGATTTAGTCCCGGTTTAGTCCTGATTTAGTCTTGGTGTAACCCCGGTTTAGTCCGTTTTAGTCTGGTTTAGTCCTGGTTTTTAGTCTTTAGGTTTTAGTCCTGTTTTAGTCCTGGTTTAGTCCTGGTTTAGTCTGGTTTAGTCCTGGTTTAGTTTTAGTCCTGGTTTAGTCCTGGTTTAGTCCTGGTTTAGTTCTGGTTTAGTCTTTGTGTAGTCCTGGTTTAGTCCCGGTTCAGTCCTGGTTCAGTCCTGGTTTAGTCCTGGTTTAGTCCTGGTTTAGTCCTTTCGTATCTGAATTTGAATTTTTTTGACAGCCCCACTACATTGTCTATCTTTATTATTAATACCGATTATGTGACAAAATAATTTACAAACATTTATACAAATAATGTTTCACTCTGATGATGTTTAAATGAGTTTAGTTAGATTGTTTTTTTGGCCTTTGCAGGTGAAGTTTTAGGGACAGACAGGAGGAGGAGCAGCCAGAGACTTCGAGAAAACACCACAACAGAGAATAAAAACCAGCACGAACCAAACAGAAACGTCACCAAGGAAACAAAAACACGTGAAAAAAGTAAAACAGAAGCTCAGAACAGATTATCTTACCCAAACACAGAGTTAAAAGCAGCAGGGACAGACTTCAGGAGCAGGAATAAAGAATCCTCTCAGTGCACGGTGTACGACATCGTGACTCCTACAGACGAAGAAACACGAGAGACGGAGAACAGACAAGAGGAAAAACCAAAAGGTACCAGCTATTTTTACTTTGACTCTTTATTAGTTTTGATGTTTCTCGGTCCTGTTGGCTTCAACGTGCATGAAGATGAAGTGGAGGAGTTCAAGTGTGTCGGGGTCTTGTTCTCGAGCGAGGGGAGGACGGAGCGTGAGATTGACAGGTGGACAGGTGCAGCGTCGGCAGTGATGCGGTCGCTGTATCGGACCGTTGTGGTGAAGAGGAGCTGAGCCGAAAGAGTCTCGATTTACTTTATTTTCAGTCTCCGTTGCTCCCCTCACCTCTGGTCATGAGCTCTGGGTAATGACCGACAGGACGAGATCGCCGAAACAAGCGGCCGAAATGAGTTTCCTCCGCAGGGCGTCTGGGCGCTCCCTGAGAGACAGCGTGAGGAGCTCGGAGTAGAGTCGCTGCTCCTCCACGTGGAGAGGATCAGCTGAGGGGAGGGCATCTGTTCCGGATGTTCCAGGACACGCTGGAGGGACTGTGGCTACGTTCAGACTGCAGGGCTTAACGCTCAATTCCGATTTTTTTGTGAAATCCGATGTTTTTTCGAGGTCGTTCACATTTCCAATTAAATGTGACTTGTATGTGACTCCAGTGTGAACATTAAACGGTCCAAAAGTGTCCCACATGTGACACTGGAGACACGACGACGTCAACCGCAGCGAGCGTCTCTGTGTTTACAGAAGTTGTCCAAACATGGACGCAGCATCGAGCACCTGGAGATTTTAAAGTTCCTCTCGTACCGGAGCCAGAACATGAACGACTTACTTGTTTTAAGGAGGAGATTGAGAAGGAGAAGGACGAGGTTTTTGGTCGTGGTGTTTTGTGGTTCAGTCCGTTGAAAGGAACGTGTGGATGTGGAGACGGAGCCAAGAGTGGTGAGTGGAGATGTGCTTCACTTCAGTGACACAGAGTTCATTAACAATTTTCTCCTACTTCAGTGCAGAATAGTGACGTTTGTGTCTTGTTGATAACGTGTAGGTGGATGAATGCACTTTGGCCGTTCAGACTGAAGTCACATGTCAAAAGATCAGATATGTATCAGTTTCAGGAGCACATATCCAAGTGTCCTGGGTCACATTTGAAAAAATCGGATCTGTGTGGTTCAGACTGTCATTAAAAGATCAGATACAGGAACATAGAGGCCAAAAAATCAGATTTGGGTCACTTCAGGCTGCAGTCTGAACGCAGCCTATGTCTCTCTGGCCTGGGAACGTCTTGAGGTCCCCCTGGAGGAGCTGGAGAAAGTGTCTGGGGTGAAGGAAGTCTGGGAGTCCCTGCTTAGACTGATGCCCCCATGACCCGGCCCCAGATAAGCGGAAGAAAATGGATGGATTGACAGTTTTTATTAAGAACAATGCAACATAAACGTTCCATTAAACATATCATCATGTGTTTTTTCTTATTTTAGTTTTGATGTTTAATGTAAAAATGTATTTGTTTTTATCATAGCTATAAAAATACAAAGGAGCAGAAAACAGACGAGAAACAGACGCCGCGCCTCAAGAAAAAAGGTACGTTTCTCTGTGAGACTAAACTGCCCGACAACACCGTAACATCATGTTCTGTCAAAAATGAGTTCATGTCGTTTCATTTGTATCTGAGACTTTATCATGTCAGTAAATATCCTGAAAAATATTGAGCTCAAAATGTCCCTTTGACCCTTCTTTGTCAGTTCCTGTTCTCTGCTTTTGTATCATGAGCCAAAAATAAGGCTCAAAGGTCCATTATGAGCTCAGTATTTTTCACATACAAATATTTTTTCATTATAGTTTGAGAGCTGTTCCTGTTGTACTTTTGTCTGGACAAAACAGGAGCTTTTTCTTCTCAGTTTCACACTCTGGAAAGTTAAACTCTTTTGCCTTTGTAGGACTTTAAACACTCGCCACACACTCTTCAATGATTTTTACACGTGCGATAAAAAGCACAGAACACAGATATGACGGGAATCAGATGAAGTTTAAATCTTTAAGCACGAAGAAACTGCACACAACAAGCTGAAAATTTAGAGCACAGGTGTCAAACATACGGCCCGGGGGCCAGATCCGGCCCTCCAAGACCTTTAATCTGGCCTTCGGCTGATTTTTTACTAAAATATTTTTATTATATTTTCTATTAAAATTGTGTTAATTTTCTGTGGTGTTTATCACAGCAGCGTCTCCAGCGTCTCTGTACGTGGCCCCGCCCACCAGAGCAGCACAAATGAAGACTTGTCTCTTTCCAAACGCTCTTAAAGGACGATCGTTTTGACTGTTGACCGTGACACCCTCATCAACAAAATGTCAAAAATGAGAAAAGCGGACGCAGAGTGCAGGATTTTACAACAAAAATGGACTTATTCCTGTTTACAAACAAGTTCATGTTAAAACTTTGTGTTGAAATTGTATTTTCCTTGAAGTTTCAGGTTGTTCAAGAAAGAGTTCATCAATTAAAAAAGATTTCTGTAATAGATTTGTGTTTCTCTGCACAAATATTTGAACTTATTGTTATTTTTGGGGTTGTTTCCTGTCTACAGTAAAACGACTCCGTAGGCTGAGCGTGTTCTAAATATAAGATCATCGCATTTCCAGTTTATTGTTATTATTATTTGTGAGATGTGGTGCAATTCTTTTTTGTGCAAACTGTTTTAAATTTACAAACTGTTCATGAATATATAATATAATAAAGTTGCTCTTCTAGAAAGTTCCCGCCCGGACTGTGTGCTGCTCTGGACTCTACTGCCGCTCGTGTGGGAAAGAGCTGCTCCAAAACGCACGAGGTTTGATTTAACTTTTTAACCTGTTTTTACTTTTCCCGATCGTAAATTTGAAGGGTCGGTCGTCTGTTTTCGCTGCAGGTGCGCTGAGGAGAGCCGCCCGGGAGTCCAGACCGCTCGCTCTTCTGCTCAAACACAAACCCGACTCCTCCAAACGGACCCAGAGCTGCACGTGTGTCCCCCAGCTGCACCTGCCTCTGCACCCTGCCTCTGCACCTGCCTCTGCACCAGTCTGAGCCCGAGCTGCTCCTCGTCCAGGACCCGCAGTTTGTGAAGCTTCTGTCCAAAGAGCTTCGGCCGATCACAGACGACACACGCACAGGTGAAGAAACTGTCAACTCAAAAACACGTCTCCATGTTTTACTCTTTTTTTTTTCAGTCTTTTTAATCCTGGTTAAGAATTAGTCCTGGTTTAGTCCTGGTTTAGTCCTGGCTTAGACCTGGGTTTAGACCTGGTTTAGTCCTGGTTTAGTCCTGGTTTAGACCTGGTTTAGACCTGGTTTAGTCCTGGTTTAGACCTGGTTTAGACCTGGTTTTAGTCCTGGCTTAGACCTGGTTTTAGTCCTGGTTTAGACCTGGGTTTAGACCTGGTTTAGACCTGGTTTTAGTCCTGGGTTTAGACCTGGTTTAGACCTGGTTTTAGTCCTGGTTTTAGACCTGGTTTAGACCTGGTTTTAGTCCTGGTTTAGACCTGGTTTAGACCTGGTTTTAGTCCTGGTTTAGACCTGGTTTTAGTCCTGTTTAGTCCTGTTTAGACCTGGTTTAGACCTGGTTTAGTCCTGGTTTAGACCTGGTTTTAGTCCTGGTTTAGTCCTGGTTTAGACCTGGTTTAGACCTGGTTTAGTCCTGGTTTAGACCTGGTTTAGACCTGGGTTTAGACCTGTTTTAGTCCTGGTTTAGACCTGGTTTTAGTCCTTGTTTAGTCCTGGTTTTAGACCTGGTTTTAGACCTGGTTTTAGACCTGGTTGAGACCTGGTTTAGACCTGGTTTTAGACCTGGTTTAGACCTGGTTTAGACCTGGTTTTAGACCTGGTTGAGACCTGGTTTAGACCTGGTTTAGTGTCTGGCAATGAGTGGAATTACTGAGAAAAAAAAAAAAAAAAAAAGGGATTTAGCCCAAAATGTGAAAACAGTAAAATCCCTCTGTGTAATCCATTTATTTCAACAAAGTAACTGTAATCCAATTACCCACTCACTGAAACAGTAACTGTAACTGAATACAGTTACTCATCATTTGTACTCTGATTACGTAACTCCAGTACATGTAATCTGTTACTCCCCAACACTGATCATAAGTTAGATAATTGTTTTCGTCTTCTCTTCAGGCTTTGGAAATCAGGTCCCTCAGTTTTAACTCTGTGTGTGTGTGTGTGTGTGTGTGTGTGTGTGTGTGTGTGTGTGTGTGTGTGTGTGTGTGTGTGTGTGTGTGTGTGTGTGTGTGTGTGTGTGTGTGTGTCTCTGGAGCTCTCCACCCTCGTCTCACAGTTAATATTAATGTGTATGATTGTGAAATACAGTTTTGTTTATGGATCATTGACGTCTCTCCTGTTGTTGTTGTTGTTGTTGTTGTTGTTGTTGTGGTGCAGGTTATAACGCGGTGTGGGACCAGAGTGTGGGCTCCATCACCAGGTTCCTCCGGTGTCAGAGTTGCCCCCAGACTGAGAAGACGCCGTCAGCTGCTCATGTGCTGTTCCCCACGGAGCCAAACAAACAACAGGTGAGAACTCTGACCCATAAACTAACCAAACAACAGGTAAGGTACAGTTACATCACATCTACTGGTCCAAATCGCACTGTCATTTCATTTTTCTGTTTTAGTGTTAAACAAAAAAAAAAGATTTTGACCTCTATATTTAATTTAAAGTTGATTTCTCGGTGCCTGTTTTAATTTTGATATTTTATTCTTTCTGGTGTATTTGCCCCCGAAGCATGGATCTATAATAAAAACTGAACGAAGGAGAGTTCATCACTGCTTCCTGTTTGTCATCATGGAGTTCAACATTTACTTTGTTAGGTTACGTTTACATTGAAAGGAATTGCTGTATCACCGTATCGGAAACGATTTGTGACCAGACAGGTTGTTTCTGTGTCCTCAGGCCTTCTTTATCCTCACAGCTTTGAGCACATTTGTTTACGTTTTACAGGAACAAAACTTAAAACCACATGACTCATTTGCATAAACTATAAGCGCAGAAAAAAAACATCTCGCTCTTTGTGTCGCTGATGTGGTTCAGTTTGTGTCGGACTAAAGGACACAGTGACTCAGTGGAATATGAGTGTTCTTTCTGTGACAGAGGGGTGTTCTGCTGATGGTGAGTCTGTTCTGTGTTTCTGTCGTGTTGTTGGTTCATGTGAAACTTTTCAGAGATTATACGTCTGCAGGTCGAACACACAGACACACGTTTATATGAAGGGACATATGATTCTAGCCTCTTAGAGTTTTAGTGGTGAATTACTTGACGGCGCATCAACCTACCGTATTTTCCGGGTCATTAGACGCGCTCTTAAGCCTCTAACCGCATCAAAAAACGACTGCGCACCACAATCCAGAGCGCCCTATACACGAATCCACTCGGGTGTCCCAGCACGACTTCAGTAAACTACAAAGCCACACCACCCGCAGAACACACAAACACACACGGAGCAGACAGCGACCGCACAGAGAAAGACACCCACAGACACACTCATCACTCCACGCCGACGAGGAACGGAACGGAGGAACGAACCGAAAAAGCGAGCGCAATGTGCCGCTTCTAGACACGACTGAACAACTGAGTCACTGCGAACACGCCGACAATCCGCTGGTCCCAGACACACCCTCCCTACACGCCACAACTGAACAAAGCCCAGAGTCACCGTGAACGAACAAACAAACAAAACCACTCACCCATCACACTGTTGGGTTTCATTTAAAGTCCCACACGGTTTATTTGTGAAAAAAGTTCAAAAATAGACCATTTAATGACAGTGCGTCTTATAATCCAGAGCGACTAATAGCCCGGAAAATACGGTACAACAGAGTATCAGTGTTTTCAGGCGTCCACACGGTGCCGGATCAGATCTGTACTCGGATGAATTCATGGAAGTTGGAGGCACCAGGTCGTTCCGTCTCTGGAGCCGTTTTCCATCAGATTAGTGTAAACGCACACTTTATCTACAACGAAAACATCTCGAATATGAACTAGTGTGGACAAGGCCTAAGACGCGAAAGTGAACGCATCGCTATAAAGAAGACGACATGTTTGGCCACAAAAATTGCAACGATTTTTCAGGTAAGTCCTCCTAGCAGCAGAACTTCTGGGACAAATAAACCAGAGAATAAAAAAATATCAAAATTAAAACAGGCACTGAGACTTTTGAGAGTTTTTTGATTGGTGTTATTTGAAATAAACTTTTAATTAAATATGGAAATCTGTTTTTTGTTTGACCCTAAAACAGAAAAATGTTTCCCCATTTTATTGTTTTTCGTTCTTAATTGAAATTCAAAAGAACGAACGGTACACGGACAGTTGGTCCCGAGGGAATTTCAAGTTTTGTTGCAGTAAACTGTGGCGGTTTTTCTGTTACGTTTCCGCTGCTCTGCGTCTCAGTCCGTTTGTGTCTCGGTCAAAGGTCTCAGGTCAGTTTAACAGGAGGAGTGGTCAGGGAGGGTCAGTAGATTGTGTGTCAGGACAGTTTGAGGAGAGGAGGAGCCTGAAGTGTCCCTCCTCACAGCGACCTCCAGGGGGCGCCAGGTCAACACAACAGGAAAAGTCGCTCTTACTCTGCCCTGGTGTTTTTCCCCACCTGCTGCTCTGTACTTACTTCAGTTCTTACCAAACAAAAAAAAAAAAGATGACTAATTACCAGAAAACAATTTCTTCTGCATTATTTGGTTTAAACAGACGACGTTTTCAGGATTCAAATCAGATTTTAGTTTAAAATAAGTCAAAGTGCAAAGAATCGAATTTTGATCGTGATTTCAATTTGTGTGTCAAAATCTCCAAACTTATAAAATCGAGTTGAAACGATAAAGCTTCAACAAAGTTTATTTTGAGATTTTTTAAAATATAAATCAGTATATTTATTTATTTTTTTTCAATATAGAGCTTGTAGAACAGCTGGATATATAGTTTATTTTGGACACATTTATGTTTTTCTATACTTTATTTCATGTCCAATGTTTATTTTATTTATTTTATGTTTTATACATCGCAAAACTGCTCTAAAGTTCAGATTTGTAGCCGCTATTTATTTTTAATTTGAGTGTTTTGGGTTTTTTTTGAGAGAGAAACGCTGAATAAATGCATCGTGTAACTAAAAATTATAATTTAAAATAATCGTGATTTCAATATTGACCAAAATAATTGCGATAATAATAATTTTTTCCAGAATCGAGCAGCTCTAGTTTAAAGCTGCACTGTGTAACTTTTTGGTTTGGTTGCGTCTCCGGCTCTTGCTTGTTGCTGTGACTGGAATGTTCCACAGTGTGACATTAAACAGCTCTTAGATGATCCGAAAATACAAGTATACAGGACTCAGTGTTGTATTTTCTTCTTAATCAGACTTGAGATGTTGTTGCTTTGTCTGGAATGTTCCACGGTGCGGCATTAAACCTTTCTATCTTCACTGAGACCAAACCAGACCAAGTTACAGGTCAGATCTGTGGAGAGGCGACCCCGCTCACAGTCAGAATGTCTTGTTTTTCGAGGTATTTTTTTGAGAAATAAAACCACCTGTAATTGAATAAATGTAAAGTCGAGCTGTTTAATGTCACTGTATCCATAGAAACAAGCAGGTGCCGAACCCCCAACCGAAAAGTTACATAGTGCACCTTTAATGCCTATCTTTTTTACTCTATACTACAATGCAGCTTGGTGTAAAAGTATTCTAAGTATTCACAATGCAGTACTCTGATTAGACCGTGTATCAGAATATTTTACAAAATACCCTTCAATTTCCGTATTCAGTTTTGTGTAATTAAATACATTTTCGTAGTATTCTCACAAATACCACGCACTGTATTCTGATTACTACGAAATGGAAAAAGTAAATGTACCAGAACGGTCGTTATCCGTTTTTTCCATTTTTCATTTAAACACAAAATCGAAAACTAAAAAAAACTAATCATTTTCCGTTTTTTTTTTTTTTTTTTTTTTTTTTTTTTGGAGGCAAATAATGAAGAAAACTGGTTTTTTCATTTTCTTATTTTTCATTTTTGGTTTTATATTGAAAAATGAACGAATACAAGGATTTTTAGTGAACAGGGCAGAAGTTGAAACGATGTTGTGATTTTGTTGTTGATTTTACTTAAGTTTAACAGGATATCATCAGTTCTTACCTTTTTCTTCTAAAAAAAATCATAAAACTGAGACAGAACTCCATGCTCTTGCTCATTCTGAGTGAAAGACACCACCATCACAGTCATACTGAAAACAAATGATAGAAATGACATTGTTTATTGTTTATTTTATTCTTTAAGAATTTTGAGTAATCGGGGCTATGGATTTTAATCGAAGAAAATTAAAACGAGAGTGACGTAAGTGATAGAAAAACGTTAAAAAATTCATTTTCAAAATTCTACTAAAACCAATGGAACTATTTATAGGCTGTTTTGGTCATCTTTAAATCAAGTCCGTAATCCTAAGAACGTATCAGAAACTCAGAGCTTCGTTTTATTTTATTTCGGCAGGTAGCGTTCTGTTTACCATTTTGTTAATTGTGGTTCTTGACTCTGGAGTTTACAGAGATTATCGTCTTTATCCGGCAAATATCGGTTCATTAAAGTTGCAGTGTGTAACTTCTGTGGCAGAAGGGGCCGTCACCTGCTGCTTTTTTCAATGGATATGTCGTTTCTCTGCCCGGAATGTTCCGCAGTGTGACTTTAAACAGCTCTACTTTACATTTATTCAATTACAAGTAGATTTACAGCTCAAAAATACCTCGAAAAACAGACATTTTAACTGTGAGCGGGGTCGCCTCTCCACAGATCTGACCTGTAACTTGGACCGGTTTGGTCTCCATGGCGATAGAAAGGTTTACTGTGGAACATTCCAGACAAGTTGTTGTACAGTTGTAGGGAGTATTATCTGTTACATTAGGGTGAGTTGTTGTACAGTTGTAGGGAGTATTATCTGTTACATTAGGGTGAGTCGTTGTACAGTTGTAGGGAGTATTATCTGTTACATAAGGGTCAGTTGTTGTACAGTTGTAGGGAGTATTATCTGTGACATAAGGGTGAGTTGTTGTACAGTTGTAGGGAGTATTATCTGTTACATAAGGGTGAGTCGTTGTACAGTTGTAGGGAGTATTATCTGTTACATAAGGGTCAGTTGTTGTACAGTTGTAGGGAGTATTATCTGTTACATAAGGGTGAGTTGTTGTACAGTTGTAGGGAGTATTATCTGTTACATAAGGGTGAGTCGTTGTACAGTTGTAGGGAGTATTATCTGTTACATAATGGCAAGTTGTTGTACAGTTGTAGGGAGTATTATCTGTTACATTAGGGTGAGTCGTTGTACAGTTGTAGGGAGTATTATCTGTGACATAAGGGTGAGTTGTTGTACAGTTGTAGGGAGTATTATCTGTTACATTAGGGTGAGTTGTTGTACAGTTGTAGGGAGTATTATCTGTTACATAAGGGTGAGTCGTACAGTTGTAGGGAGTATTATCTGTTACATTAGGGTGAGTTGTTGTACAGTTGTAGGGAGTATTATCTGTGACATAAGGGTGAGTCGT